ATGGAAAAAAGAATTTTGTGTGTGTTGTGTAATTAAAAAAATTTTTTCTAGCCATGCTGAGCTAAAAGATACAAACAATGATATCGACGATGATAAAGGTAGGCACGTAATCTGAAAACTTTTAGATAAAATATAGCTTTTACTACCACTCGGTTTAATAAAAGTGTTTTCAAGCAAAGCCTATTTTATATTTTTAAGGATGGGTTTAGGACAGAATAATTTTTAGCAACTAAAAAAATTTGTTATTCCAAACCAGGATTATAACTAGAGCCGAGACTATTAGACTAACTTTTTTTTTTTTTTTTTTTTTTTTTTTTACTAGTCGTTTTGTAAACCATTAAAATGTTTCTTTTATTTTTTATTTCTTTGTTATTGTTGTTGATACATTATGTGAGATTATTTTTTTTTAATCTTTTTCTTTTTTTGTTTTGTTTTGTTTTGTAGAAAATGCGAGATTTTTTATTTAATTGTGAGTTAAAAGAGACGTCACGTTATTATAAGTTTATTAGTTTTGGGCCGTTATATATAACTTGCTTGGACATAATTCTATGAAAAGCTAAGAAACAAACAAACAAAAATTGTTTTTTACATGAATTGAAAAAAAAAACTAACAAAATGTAAATTAAAAGATAGATTAACTTACATCTGAAAAGAAACGAGTTTCTATTTAAGGTTTTTGTCATATAGTTTTTTAAATTCTTTTTTGCATAAACAAAAGTTTTCCCAGATTTTTTGTATATAAAAAGCGCCCTTCCGCCTTACTGTAAATTATGTGACTTAAATCCATGCATGCACAAACACATACATAAAAAGCATTTTCTTAGTTTAAATTATTGTGAAAGAATTTGTTTGCGGATGTGCACAAGTGTGTCAAACAACCCGATTACGAATAAACCCTAATATCTTAAGAAGAATGTTAAACAAAGCCTTATAAATTTGTTTAAACATAAATTTAGGTTACCTCACGACAATTTGATAAGATTAATTTAGAATAATTTTTTTTTTTTTTTTAGGTTTAATTTATTTAAGTTTGACTAACCATAATTCAGATAATATCGTCTAGTTTTCGAAAATTAATTATAAAAACTTATCGTGATTTCTATATTATTTTGTAAAATCTTTATAAATCTTATAATATATTTCTATTTTCAATATATATTTTTACATGTGAATTTAAAAGAAAGTCTTAATTTTATCAAGAATTTATCAAGTTTTTCAAGAAGCAAGAAAGCAAATCTCGGTTTTTATTATAACAATTTTATAGTTATATATTTGTTAATTCGCAAAATAATTAAAACATTCTTTTAAGCTTCTTTAGTGACGTAACGTATATAGCAAGCAAAATAACGATATTGAAACGGAGCTTGCTCAATAATTAATGCCCAGTCGCATCGCTTATAACAATGTCCGGTTTTCATTCATAAAATATGATCCGGCTTCGGGTGTATGACAATTTTATTTTGATCTATAGGCTTAATACATGCTTCAAGTGCTCAAACAGGCTTAACTATTGTATAATAATTCTAGTAATATCTTTGATAATTTTTTCTTCGTCTCGATCATATTATTTGGAAAGCCTATGTAATAATTAAACCCATTGTTTAACGAGCGCTTTAATAGTTTCGCGCGTTTTTGTTTGTTTTACTATAACAATTCAATTAAACAATTAAATCTTTGTAAATTTTCTCGCTTATGTTTTTCTTTCGTTTGATATTCAAGAGAAACCTTTTAAAATTAAAATTGTTAAAATACCAAATTATGTTTTAAGAATTATAAGAAATTATTTAAACTTCAAAAGTAAAAAGTAGACAAATTTCTGAAATTGAAAGTTATTTAATTTTCAAAGCAAAAATTTATCTTAAGACGAATTTCTAAAATTACTTTTTTAAAAGTATATCTAATTATTTCTGTAAACATTTTTGCTTCATCTTTAGATGATATTTGTGAACAAGATCGCATAAATTCGGAAGTAGTCGTAATTTCCCCAGCCCTCGAAGATCTTATTCCGATTGATCATATTAAATTACCTTCGTATGACTTTGCATTTATAAAGGAGATGGCAGAAACTTGAGTACAAAGAGCTACGATACTGTATAGACAATATTAGTATTTCAGAGAAAGAAATATTTTCAAAACATGTTTATTTATTTTTTATTTTGTTTTTTAATACAAAACCATTTTTAAAAGATAGTTCTTAGAACAAATGATCCGCTGTAAAGATACATTTTTTTACATTTGCAGGTAATATATAATCTTACTATATTCAAAACAATAACCAAGCTTAATTAAGTCGCCTTTCAGTTTCCAAATAATGACACCGATATTTTTTTCTGAATAAACAAACTTCCGCGGTGTTTCTTTTTAAGTTGATAGCCATGGCGCTCAGTCAACTTTTGTTTGGTTTTTTCTTGCAAAGGAAGCACTTGTTTTCTTCAAAGCGGTTCGGTTTGGTTTAATTGCAAACGTTCGACCTCATTGTTATTAAACATTTTGTGGTACATGTAATTGGTCGAGTTTGAGTTTTAATGTTTAAGTTTTATTTTCACTTAAAAAAAGTTTGCTTGAATTCGTCATTGCAGTCATTTGTGTTCGTCATTGCAGTTCCAAACAAATAAGTTGTAAGTTTTTTTAAAATTATATGCAATTATAATTATTATTATTATTAACTTCTTGTATGACTGTGATGTTTAAAAATATTTTCTTGAATATTTGAATCGAGTTCAACTCGCAATAGTAAGCGATATAGTCAACTGACCTTAAACCGTTCAGGCTATGTGATTTAAACGGATACTGGAATTTAACTCATGTTTTGTTGTCGTCAATCATTGTCAACCGTAATCGATCATTAAACGTTAAATTGAAGTGTTTGGTTTGTTCTTGCTACAATCAGTTGTGCTATATTTATCATAGTAATTTATCTTGTATTACATTGTGTAAAATAAGATAAAAAATTTGTCCCCTCATCCTGCGTAAATTTAATACATGTCGTCACGAAGAAAACTTTGTTTATCTTAAAGACGAAAAATGTGAAGCAATTGATTTTGTGTAGTTTTTTTGTTTTCTAATTAAAACGTGCTCATTTGAAAATCTTAAGCGAACCGTCTGTTTGAGAAACAAAGACACCACCGCAACCTAACACGTGTTATATGAAAAGAAGGAAAAATGTGATTTTATGAAGTCTATCGTAGTATTGTATAACTGGAACAGTAGAATTTATAACTGCATATGAAATATGAAATTATATATATATATATATATATATATATATATATATATATATATATATATATATATATATATATATATATATATATATATATATATATATATATATATATATATATGTATATATATATATATATATATATATATATATATATATATATATATATATATATATATATATATGTATATATATATAATGTTATATGTTTGTAGTTACTATTTTAGATTATTATTTTAGATTAAAAATATGCAAATTGCCGCCATGAGCGCTGCAGAAAGTAACTCAGTAAAAACGGAAGATAATTTTTCAAAGGAAGAGCATATTGATGTTGTTTCGACTGTAAGTGGAATTAACTCTAAACATCACTTTTCATCAGATTATATTGCAAAAAGTATTTCTCGCCACAATGAAACGTTTTTATCTTCTGCATATATTCCAACATTAATGTCTCTGGCTACATCAGAAAGTACCATTGGTTATCCATCGCCAGATTATCGAAATTATAGTTATAGAAATGGATCTCCACCTTATATCGATAAAGCCCCTACATTAAGTCAAAAAGATGACAGTACTCAGAATTCTGATCAACCTTCACCATCTACAACTCCGTTAGAAGACAAACACGTATGGTCGAAAGCTGAGGTTGAGTTACTCTTAGATTTGTATGAAAAAAATCAAGATCAGCTTAAAGATCCACGTGTTAGAAAAACAAGAGTGTGGGAAGACATTGCAACTGCTATACGGGAAAGTCTAGATTCCGATGTAAATGGATGCCAATGCAATCAAAAATTTCGTAATCTCAAAGCAGATTTTCAAAAGGTTCAGGAACATAACGGACGACCCGGCAACTTTAAACGTATATGCAAGTACTACGATAGATTGGTCAATTTATTGAACTATTCGCCTTATGCTCAGCAAAAAACATTTTCAAACTCTATAAATGTAAATGGCGAAACGCCACATAATACGCCACATTATTTTGAAAATGAGAATATACCACCCCTTCCTTCGTTAAAACGTAAATTCAATGATATATATTTAAATGGACATACAAACAATCTACTCTCCAATAGTCATATTGAAAACTTTCAATCCAAAAAGCCGCGCTCGCAATGCCAATGTGAATGTAGCGAGGAGATTGCAAGTTTACGCGAAAGCATAGAACGAACAAATAGATACATTTTAGCGCGAGCAGCACACGAAGATGATCGTGTTCGAAGGTTAGAAGATGTGCATCGTGAAAAGTTGATTGCGATGAGCAGATTCGCTGACATATTTAAAGACTATATACATAAAATTGTATAACATTACGGATAAACTATACTGGCATTTTGTAAATATTTTCATAGTTATTTTGTTCTCTCAAAAGTTTTCTTAATCTATTTTACGTCATGTTTATTAACCAACCTGTTTTTGCGCTCAAACAAAAAACTTGGTTGAATCACAAACCCCAAATAATTCTGCAATCTGATTATTTCGAGAATTTCGGTTTATCGGCCTAAACAAAGCTTAAACTATTTTATCTTTTTCTTAAAATAAGGTTTTTTAAACGGAATTAACTTTTGTTGCATTTTTAAAACATTTTTTGCTAGTCATTCTGCGTAAAATACAGTTTCACTTTTTTTATTGTAAATACTTCTTTACATAGAGCATGATAATAGAGTTGGTATTTATTACGTAGATAATATTATTAATCTTTAAAAATAAAGTAACAAATTTTTGCAAAAAACACATTTTTCTTTAAAAAATATTTATTGGCATTAGTTCATAAAAAGCATTAACTTTCGATTTATACCCGCAAGAAAAAAAATACCATTTAATTTAAAACCATAAGCTTAAGTTTTGAAAACAAAATTTCTTTATTTTAAAACGTTTTGACATCCAAAATAAAAAAATTCGGAGGATATTCTACAAATTATTTAACAGGTTAACAGTGTTTTATATTCGAAAAATACATTGAATAAACTTGCCATCGTTTTATTTTAACTGTTTAAACGTAAATAAAATAAATTACACTCGGAAAATACCTATAGCTTAAAAAAAAAAAAAAAATTTTAGTATCATATTTCATTTAGCGTTCAAAATAAGTACCAAATATTGACAGTCAGTTGACTAAAGCCGAATGCCTAATTGTAAATTTTTATTAAACACTAATTTATAAGAAAAAGTTACTTAAATTTCTAAAATATATATATATTTTTTTTGTTTAAACCAAAAGCATTTATTATTAGAAACTTTTGTTGTTTAAAACGCTTGTTTATTGCAAAATTTAATTTGTTCAAATCTTTTGTATTTCGTTTAAAATAAGGCGACTTTTTATATAAAAAATATTTTTGCCTTTGTGTTCATTTTATTACGGAATCGATTAACGATTCTTCGATAAAAATTGTTCTTGTTTAAGTTTAACACGTGACATGTGGCTGACTGGATTGACAATTATTTAAGGAGTAATAGGGTATTAGGAATGTTTTAAGAAACTGTTAAAAAAAAAAAAAAGTGTTTTAAATTTAGTTATCATTAAATGATAACTATTTAATGACAGTTTTAAGTACTGGTAACGCGGCTCGTGAGAACTTATACAAAAGAAAATTATTATTATCTTAAAGACATCGTAACAGGTTTTCTTTTATCTACTATTCCAAATATGAAAATGAAGATGAACAAATAATCGCGGCTTTAAAATTTAAACCAAAACAGAACAATAGCGCACACTATTAACTCACAAATCGGATTTGAGCGCTTTATGCAGACAAGTAAACATAAAGCATGTGTGATTTCTAAGAATAGTAACAAAATCTACAAATATCAATAATGAGTTAAGCAAGTCAATAACTTTTTACTTTTACAGTCTAATATCATAACATGTGTGCAGGACCGAGCTTAACGCGCGCATTTGCTCTCACTTGGGAGTGTGAATTGCTACTATTATAATTTACAATTTTACAATATTATGTTATATAATTTTTAGAATTTTAAATGACATTATATTTTTACTTATAGTGATGTTTTTAGCAATAATTTAATTGATGCCCTGCGTTAAGGAAAGACTATTGCAAAAACTAGAAATAACTCTAATATAGAGTCAACATCTTTTTTTTTTCAATAAGTTTTATGCAAAAAATTTTCCATACAGTTCTATAATTATTTGTCGTAATTGTTTTTATTTTGCACTTTTTTACTGGAATTTTGATATACATTTGTTGAAAAAACATAGACCAATAGGGGCACTTTATAAATTCACGTGGTTCACTTTATTAATTCAATTCGAGTTCTTAATGTGCTGTGCTTTTCAGTAACTAATTACACAGCTTAATTTTTCTCTGATGTTTATTCAGAATTACTTAGAAGAATTAATTAAAAGAATTTAACAATGTGTTTATAACTACACATTTGAAAAATATATATTGTTTGTATTTAGCCGTTTCCTATACCGATAATTCAATTTCATTTGGAAAAAAATGCAAATCAACTACAGAAAGAAACATATATAGAAAAAAAAAGTAAAAATAATAAAAGAAAATTAGAAATATGTTTTCTATAGTGTAAACTAAAATGATTCGAAATCAGTATTATACTATCAATAGCTCTATTAAAAAAAAAATTTTTTTTTTCCTTAGAAATCGTTCTAATTTGGTAGTGGTGTAGTAGTAAAAGACTTGCTTCATAAACGAGAGATACGGAGTTCAAATCCGTATCTCTCCGTGCGGCAAGAGCCGACAAACGGTTTTCGAAGAAGGTGGGGGGGGGGCACAGAATCATGAATTCATATCTTAAAATTTCGATATAAAAAAAGAAAACTTTAGAAAAAAAATTGCTGCCCTTCCCCCTCCCCAGTGTCGTCGGCCTTTGCAGCAGTCAAGTTTTTTTCGTCAAAGCAGTCAGTTTTTTTCGTCAAAGTTTGTGTTTCAGCGTTATAGGGTTGATAGAAGATTATAACAGCAACCAAAAAAATCTTTATATTTTAAAGTGAAAAAATTACTAAAATTGCTTTTCTAAAAAAGAAAAAAAATATTTTAGATTTAAAAAAAATCATCAAACTATAAACAGCATCACGAAATGGTAGTTAGGTAGTTAAATGGTAGTTTATATAATTAAAAACATTCAATTATATAAATAACTTGTTGTCCCGATATGCCCCACAAAAGTCATTTTACTGAAATTAATACTATTCAAAAAGTTCAACTTTAAATATTTTTTTAAAACCAAATAAGGATAAAAAATGCTGTCTGAAAAATATAAACTTTTTATAAATAAAGCAAATTTGCAAAAGTTGAAGATAAATCTTTTGTCGTTGCACCGCTTAAGAAAATACGCAAATTTTGTTTTTCGCTAACTTACTGATGCATTGTAGTACTTTTAAGACATTTTGGTATTTCTAAAAATAATTTTTTTTTACAATAATGAAACACAATAATTTAAAATATTTTATCAAAAAAGTTAAAATTTTTTTTTTTTTAGCTGAGGTATAAGGCTTCAGGCCTAACTGTCCTGTTTTGCCCCACTACCCCGATATGCCCCGCTCTACCCTACTCTTTTTTAGTCACAAAGTTGAAATAAAGAATTAAAATTTTAGTATCACTTCAGGGCAGTCCATTGAGGAGGGGGAGGGGAGATTTTAAAATATTTAACAATAATTGTCAAGTGTTTCAACAATTACTGTTGATTAGGGAAGGGGGGGAGGTGAAGAAAAGTTTACGTTAACTATGTTGCTTTTTAAAGTTTACGTTAACTATGTTGCTTTTTTTTTTGCTTTACTTAAGTTGTAAAAAAAGGCTTTTGGCTCTGAAACATGAACCTTGAAAAACAAGGCCGCTGCGCAGAGAAAAAAGTTTAGAAACAACTTAAACAAAGGAAAAAAAGGGGCAATATTTTTCCATTGTCATTTTATTTAGAGAAGGCGGAGGTAATCAAATGTGACGTAATTTTATAGGGTTAGTCTCTAGAAGTTGAATAGTTGTTGATAAGGGAAAAGGGAAAATTTGCAAAAAAATTGTTGACATAAATAATAAGAGAACCAATTTTTAAAATTATTTTATTACATTACTTTTTATTTATTCTTTAGGTATTTTTCTTTAGTTGTGGAAGAATAAAATAAATAATATAAAAATAAGTAAAAAAATGTGCACCATTTTAATTATTTGTACATTGAGTAAGATGCACGCGAGAAGATTATGTACGTAAAAAGATGTAGGTAAAGAAATGGCATATGCGAGGAGATAATGTACTAGAGAGGATAGTTCATGCAATGAACCATCCTCTCTAGTATATTATCTCCTCATGGTTCATGCATGAGATCGAGCAAATCGTGAAGATATGTATAGTGAAATATAGTGGAATATTCAAAGCTTTATATCCCAAAATTTTTCTTAAAAAAAATTTAAAACAATAAATTTTTAATCTGCTTAATAGTTTAAAGAAAATAATTTGGATGTGATTAATTTCCGATTAATGACGCATAGTGCGACATCGGAATAAGGCTGCCACGACTCTTTAACGACAACGTTGTTTCATAGTGGAACTGGGTTTTATTCAAGTTATTTTTTTCCTTATATTAATTAAATTACTTAACATATTTGTTCATTAGCAATAAAAAAAAAGTACGGTAGTTAAGCAATATTTATTCAATAGTTACTCTATTATTACGAGTCAATATTTGTTGAAACTTTTCGAGTTCTTTAAAAACTTTTAAATTTATCAAATTTGCATCAATTTTATTAAAATAACTAAAGTTCTTATAAATATTATTTAAAATAAGTAGTCCTTATAAAAAAATAGCATAATATTTGTTACATTTTGTTTAAACAAACTTTACATTTTAGTTAAGTTTTATTTCGCCGTTCTTATCACCTTATCACCGAGCCCCATTTGAAACGTTTATTTACAAATCCGTAACATAAAAGAAATTTACAAAATGACAATTGCAAGGAAGTTGAGAAACAAAAAGTTATTAAAAATTAATATTAAAAGATGCAAAAAAAAAAAAAAAAATGAAAAGATTTATAATATGCTAAAATGTTTAAAAACTTGATCGACAATAGTTCAAAAATTACATAAATAATTTTAAAAAACTTAAAGTTTGGCACAATACATTTTCTTGAAAAAACGCATTCCTTTTAATTTGTCGCAATTTTAATTTTAAAAGTTATTTTTAATCTTGTTTTTAATCTCTAATATTTTGACTTCTTTTTTATAAAATTTTTTTATTGTTGAACGTGTTTAAAATTTTTATTTGGTGCTAAATTATTTTTTATTACTGCATATAAACTGACAATATGGTAATGTAAACTTGTTTGTCTCTCTCTCTCTTACTGAGATCTTTAGGTATAAATGCATCAGAGTGTGCATACATTGACTGACTTAAATAGGGATAGGTACAATAAATGTACTTACATCGACTGAAGGTTTGGATTTTGGCAGGTAGTCTTGCAAATGAAAGAATAATTTTTTATGTTTGTGGAGGTAAATAATGCGGTCTAAAAAGTTTGAAAAGAGTGTAAACTTGGTGATACAGCCTCATATATTTCTTTTTCTTGCCCAGGCTATTTTTTAAATATTAAAACAACGATTAAGGTTATTGTAATGTTAACATATTGCAAAACAAGACAAAAAAAAAACAAAAAAACAAAAAAGTAATTCTAGAATAAATAAACAAAAAGTAACTAATAATTATTAATAAATTGATTTAAAATGCATCGTGAATATCATTTTTATAACTATTTTTTATATTTCTATTCTGTTAATAGTTTTTATTATTATAATATTTATAGCTTTTTTTATGGTTTGACATACTGTTATGATAATAATACTTATTATTACAAAGTAGATTTTCATCATAAAATCAGTTCAATCACAATGAATCTTTAATTACTTCTATGTAACATTATACTGTAAAGTATAATGTATTATAAACAAATATTTTAAAAACTGATTAAAAAAAGTTTAAACAAAATTGCTGATTTCCGCCAAACTTTAATTGAAATGCAATAAGAAACACAACATAAAAATAAGAAACCCAAAGTTGGTAGAGAATCTAAATTAATTTGATGACTCTTTGTCATGTGAATACGATTATTGTGTGGGTATTTTTAGAGGAGACAATTACATTTCAATTTTTAACAAAGTAGAAATTGTAATTCTTATATTTATGTTCATTGCAAATTTTCAAAACTAGTTTTTTTTGAATAAAATATTTTATAGATTATCTTAGAATAAGTACAGCACCTAATAAAGTCTAGCAAAGTTCTACACTGACCGTTGTTATTTACGATTTGTTTAAATGATTTTACCAATGCAAATATAATAGAATTTGATGACAATACAGTTATATATTGTTTGTCCTTAAACATATTTTTCCGTTTATAAGTTGCTTGATAAAAAATTGTGTTAAAAATAATAAGCTGATATTATTTTTGAGCGTAAAGCTTATATATTATAGCTAATAACTTTTTGGTGCGTCAAAAAAGTTAGCTAAAGGTTCTTGAATTTTTTTTTTTAATTAGATTATGATGGAATTAAAAAAAATGATAACAAAAACATATTTAGCTTGGTTTGCCAATTAATTAGAAACCTTCTTTATTACAACTGCATAAATTTAATAAAATGTTTATTAATTGTTAAAAAAATCTATACTAAAAATACAAGAAACAACATGTTATTTTACACAGCAAAGGCATACGACAACGTAAAATGTGCGTGTGAGGATCAAAGCTTATTCAAGGTTCTAATATTCAAGGTTCCAACCAATCAATGATCAAGGTTTCATGCTAAAATTTTAAAAGATAACAAGTTTTTAAATATTTTTACTTATAACAATTTTACCAAACCTTTTGAAAAAAAATATTATTATATAGGGCTTAAGTTTTGCAAAAAATGCTTTATTTATATCAATATATTTATATATATATATATATATATATATATATATATATATATATATATATATATATATATATATATATATATATATATATATATATATATATATATATATATATATATATATATATATATATATATATGTATTATATATATATATATATATATATATATATATATATATATATATATATATATATATATATTATTGATATATATATTATTGATATATATATATATATATATATATGCATATATGTTATTGATAATATATATTAATACAAACACAACAATTAACACCTCTTTATTTTTAATTTACAAGATCTCCTAGTATTTAATACAAAATACAAATTTTTTGTAATAGAGTATAATCTTGAGTGCTAAAAAAGATCTTTCTGCTTCCTTTTAGCCTTCACGACCTATTGATTGCATACAGTGATTGCATGTATAAAAAAAAATTTAAAAGCCCTATTGCAAAGAGTATCACCTCCTTGTACATAAAAATCACACATAAAGTTAAAATATTATGTATTTCGAACTTATGATTTAGATGCTATAATAGCTTAGGTCGATGGAGTGTGGAGTGTTATTCTAAGTAACAAAAATCAAACATTAAAAAGATCTTTTATGATAGATTTTTAATTTTGCTTTTAAAATCTTTCAAAGTTTACGCTTCAATAGTCGACTCTGGTAAACTGTTCCATAGGTTTGTGAATTCTTTTTAACGCATAAATCATGTTTAAATTGGTATCGTCATGTATTAGCTGATTCAGTCTACAACAATGATGCAACAAACTTAGATGTGTTGCACTATGAATATAAATATACATGCTTATTCATGGGCTGACATGCAAATTGTTAGAAAATATTTTTCAGCGTGAAAAAATTTTTGTTTAACCCATCTCATAATATGTAAAATTATATGAAACTACAAACCAACCCAATTTTGTTTGAAATCAAAAGAATATTAAAGAATATCTTTAGTAAATTTATGCAACTTATAAATAAAAATTATGAAAATTTTTTCAATTTTTATATTTGCTTGTATTGCCTGTTACTGAAATTTAAAATTTTTCTACGTATAATTACTAGGAATAAAATACTCGTTTAGAAGATATTCATTTTTAATTTTCTTTTTTCTTTTAAATTGAATAGTTGTTTGAGACAAAATTGAGTATAATAAAAATTAAACATTAATGGATATATTAAAAATTTAACACGTTTAAGATTATGATTGCTATATTTATGCAACATTAGGTCGGGTAAATAAAAATAAGCAATTGCTTTTACTCAGTAATTGTTCAGCTTTACGTGATTAAAAACTTCAGGAATTTTGGTCAAATTTTTATTCACGTAAAGTTAAGCCATTTACTCAGCAATTGCTCAGCTTTACGTGAATAAAAACTTAAGAAATATTTTTAAAATTTTTGTTCACGTAAAGCTGACCAGTTACTGAGTGAAAGCAATTGCTCATTTTTATTCACCCGGCCTATTGTAAAGTCGTGCTTAAATATTTTCATTAAACATTTTTAAATTTATATACTTTTGTTAAATATTTGGCTAACTTTTTATTGTATTTGGAAACTGTATTTTATATTTAGTTATATTTTATATATACTCAATATTTTATATATAATTATATTTTATATATCATTATTGTATTTTATTTTTAAATATTAATTAGCAGTATTTTATTTTTAAAATATACATCGCTATACATCGTATTATTAAACAGTTCTCAGTAATAGGATCTTACGATACCCTTCGAGTTTCAATTTTCTTACATTTGATGTTTAGCGGCATTACACCACAATATACTAAAACTAAAAAAAAAAACTTCTATGCTTATCGACAAAAAAAATTCGCTTCGCGCGAATGTTTTCGTCTTATGGAAAACAGCCTTAAATGCTTTGAATAATAATATTTAATAATTTTGAAGCGCATTCGTTTTCATTCTTTTTTTTCTTTAATGGGGGATGTAATTTTTAGGCGGATGTGGTATTGTATTACAGTTCACATAACTTAAAAATGTTTCCGATATTATTCTAGAACATTTTGTTATTTATTTTTACGTTTGAAATTAAAAAAAAAGTTTCTACAACATCGTCAGGGCATTTTTTTAACAGCAAAATATATTACAGTGGACTATGACAGCCAAATATTTCTGAATGATCAAAATTTTATTTTTTAAAATTAAAAAAAGAATGCTAAATTGTATAATGGTAAATTATACAATTAAAATTATAAAAAAAATACAAAAAAATTAGGGTAAAATTAAAAAAAGAATGCTAAATTGTGTATTGGTAAATTGCTTAAATACATTTTTTTATGTTCTAATTTTTTATATTGTTTTGCTATTAGGTAGGAGGTTGGCCATAGGGGTAAATTGGCCCGTTTATATTTTTTAAAAGACTTTACGCGAGCTTGGAATCTAGATGATGAATAATTATTCAAGATCATATTCATTGAGTTATAGTTAAAAGTGTGTGTGTGTGTGTGGGGCTGGGGGGGGGGGTTTAACAAACTTTGATACATTACATTAAATTTTAAACAGTTAGTTTTACTTTAATATGCTCCCATTGACGTTAATATGCTCACATTGCATTATTCAAGTTTTAAATTTAAAGCTTATAGTTTAAGGTTTATTTTAGTATATAATGTTAAATAATATTTATTAATGGTTTAAGAATACAAGCATTTATTTTTTAAGTATTACGACGGGGCATGTTGGGGCAATGCAAACAGTATGCATTCGCCATATATTAAAACCAATCTTCAACAATTACTTTTTAAATTAGTTTGTTTTCATTTCCGATAATAATATTTTATGTTTTAAAATGTTTTGAAAATAAATAAAAAAAACTTAAGCAATAAAGTAAATAAGGATTTTATGATTTTTAATATTCAAAGAATCGTACACTTTACACTTACTTTACTTACCACACTTCAAATTTTAATTATTAAGCTTTTTTTTATTAAAAGAAATAAAACATATAGTAATACAAAAAAAAAAGAAAGAAATTGTTGAAACTTAAGTTTTCCCCTGTTTTATTTCCCTTAGCCAACTTCCCCGAGATCAAGGGGCACGTTAGTCCATCAGCAATTTAAAATGTATTAAAACCTGATTATAAACTTTAAACTTTTGCTTTTATGAGAAGTCTAGGGTATTGTCAACCTTTTTCCATTTAAAAAAAAATTATAATAAAAATATAAAAAACTAAAAGTTACATATTAAAGAAAAAAAAGCGGGCCAACCTGCCTATCCAATTTTTTATGAAAATAAGAGGGTCAAAATAAAAGATGATATTATGAAAAAAAGAGGGAGAAAAAAAATTAAATAAAATAAAAGGAAGAAAATAAATAATTATGAAAATAAGATCAATTTCAAAAATGTTGGTGAAATTTGTAGGAGTCATTTACTAACATTTTTAGATTAGTTTTTGAAATAAAGCTTTTGAATTAAAATTCTTTTATTACGATATATAATAACCTACACCGAGTACATAAAGCAAAAATTTACAACAACCTACATTAAGTATACTATGAGAAGATTTACAACAATCAATCAATTGAAATTAGATGCTGTAATAATTTATAAATTGCCTAAACTACACCGATTACATGAAGCAAAGATTTACAGTAAAAAACCAATTGAAATTAGAAACTGCAATAATAATAATAACAATAATATATATATATATATATATATATATATATATATATATATATATATATATATATATATATATATATATATATATATATATATATATATATATATATATATATACATATATATATATATATATATATATATATATATATATATATATATATATATATATATATATATATATATATATATATATATATAATATTTTAATTATTTTAATATACTGAGCTTGCTTTTACGATCATGGGTTTTGTGTTATTATTATAGTAATACAAAAAATATCCGCCCTTCTCAAAACAAGGGTTGTAAATTTTACATGGTCATAACCTTTGAACATTAAAAGATAATCAGATAAGATTAAAAAAATTTGGTTGAATTTAAATTTAGAATAATATACTAAAAAAAATAATTTATTAAATCGTTGCCCCCTTGTTTGGGTTGCGGAAAGCACTTTTTGGGGGTATTTTTGTTCCCTGACTCAATCAACGCAATTTTAGTAAAGCGTTTTTATTTGACATAAGTATGAACATAACTAAGTTTGGAGTTTACTTAATTCTTGAAAGTGTCTTACCTGAAACATCAAAAAATCTTACTTGCGCGCCTGTAACTGTAAAACATATTAAACTCCCTTATTTCAGTTTAATGTGATTTTTACCAAACTAAGCAACACTTTATGGTGACTAAACGCACATCTAAGGATAAAACTTTTGTTAATGTGTGATTAGCATCTATATATCCTATTGCCTGACATGTCAAAAAAAAAAAGATTCTTTTAAAAAAGAGTCGTTAAATGATTAAAAAAATAATGAAAAAGGAGTTTATAAATATTCAAATCTAAAAAAGATTTTAAACATTCTTTTATTAATTGATACTACAATAGCATTTAAATACTTTAAAATATCTTAAATCTCAATGGTCATGAATTTACTTTTCTTATTAAGTTTTTTATAAAAACAAGTGTTGGAGAAAACGGGACATAATGGCGAATAGGTCAAGATGGTGGATGGAGCAAGATGGCTTTTTATCTAACAGCTCAACAAAAAAATTTAAAAATGATCGAAAAAGAAACTGTATTTATATCTTATATTTTAAATTACTAATTTGTTTTTTTAAATATTGTTAACGAAATTTTATGCGCATAAATTTGTTTTTCTACGTTAAAAAAATACCTTGATTTCGGTTATTGCTAATGAATAGTGTTCTTCTCGTGTAATTTTGCAATATTTTATCGATATTTTATCGAGATTTTGTGTTATTTTAGTTAGAGTTGTTACTAGCTTTTTTTTAAATTAGAGACAGAAAACAAATGGTAAATCATTTTAGTCTGGTCACGTAACCAGATGACAATTTTTTTTTACAAGTTTTTATACTTACAAACTGAAAATTCATGCAGGCAATGAATCATTATGATAAAACAAACACACTGCAAAGTATTATTGCTTCATGGCTGATAGCTTTGGAATAACTCAGGATTTTCAAAACGTTCGCCATCTTTTACCGCCTTCCCCTATACACACGTAATCTTAAGCGTAACCAGTATTATTTTTGTAAATATATTTTTGTAAATATATTTAATCTTTTGATACATGTTTTTGAAGGCATTTTGCCAATATGATTAATGTACGCTTATAATACATATATAAAATTTTTGCATGGCAAAAACAAGAAGAAGTCAAATGTGTTTTATTCTCTAAGACCCGTAATTAAATTGAAAAAAAATAAAAAAAAATTCTTATGTATATTTCAAAATAAATTTATAATATAGTTTATATTTATGAAAGTAACGGAATTAAAAAATCACACTAGTCGCTAAGTGAACCTGTTGCTAAGATGAAATGTTAAAGGCCTAAAGCCTTTTTTTTATTTTCTATTTAGCAAATAAAAAAAGCATAAAATTTACTCAGCAAAAACAAATAAAACGTTAATCTTTCATAATATATTAGTAAAAATGTTAAAATGAGAGTTCATGAAGTTTTCTTCTTACTTTTTTTATTATCACAATATTAGCATAGCATTTCGTTTAATCCGTCCCAACGCTAATCTTAGCATTATAGATTGATTATTTTTAACTGCTAATACTACAATGCCGATCGTTATTGATAAGTTAATGCTAATATTGATTGATTATATAAAAGTTAATTGAATGAGAGAAAGGGCTATTTATATTGCGATTTGTAGATAATCAAGTACTTGAGAAGGAAAAAAAACCAATAGGCAGAGATCAAATGATAACGACAGTTTCAAATTAAAAAATGATTTCCTTTTGTTTATTTAATTATTAATTTCCGGTTTATAAATCTTTTTTTTTTTTTTAAATATCAGAATATTTTTATACAAATTGTTTTAAAAGCAAAATTTTTTTATATATTTTATGAAATCGGAATTTCTTTGCTTTATACTTTTAAATAATTATTTGCATGGTAACAAATAGTATAAGTTCTTTAATAAGTTTCAATGATAACGAAAAAATTTAAGACTTGCACTGAATTTTTAATAAGAAGATCAGTGCCTTTAATACATTTTTACAGGCGATGTAGTCAAGGTATTGTGCCTAAAGGATAATATTTTGGCCTGGCCACGGCTGCGCCTTAGTCACAATATCTCGCATTTTGCGAAGTATTTGTGCAAAGAGGCGTAAAAAAGTTGTTTGTTTAAAAATATTTTATTTCATAACATTATGAGTTGTATTTGCACCCAGAAGTTGCTTTACAGCCTTTTGCATTTTTACATTAGCCATGGAATTGTTTTGTGTATAAGTCTTATGCATTTTATATATATGTGTAAACATAAATATAAGCAACGTATAAAACATTTTCAAGGAAATTACTTTTTCTAAAAGAATCTACCTAAACATATATGAAATTCTTTTTTTCGAATCTAAAGCATTTTAATTTTAGAAGAAAAGTTTTAGTAAAAGTGTTTTTATTGTTGAAAAACGAATTTTAATAAAAGCTTATCCTAAAAGTAAATCGTAAAAGAACAGTTTTTGAAAAAAATGTTTTTATTGTTGGAGGGCAGTTTTTGTCCTAAATGTTGTTTTAATAATTATTTACCTTTTATATTTAAAAATAAAAAAGTATAAAAAAAATCAAATTATTTGTAACAAAACAAATGTTGCAATTGTAAAAACTTTTTTTGCTTTTTAAAATTTTATGTTGCGATACTCGTGGATAGTTTATTAATAAAAATAAAACAAAGTATATAAAGAATCATTTTTTATGTTTAATGTTTAATGAAATTAATTTTTATATACTATGAAAGTATACTTAGTTAAAAAAAATTAAAAAGCTCAATTAAATGTTATGGAATGTCGTGGCATATCAAAAAAGTCATGCCATCTCAACTTGAAGTACTTTTTTTAAAAGCAGTTATTTAAACCCTTAAAAGATGTTTTTTGAATAACTCTTTTTTAAAGATTTCTCATTTATAAGTATTTTTTTTTAATTGAATTTTTAGTTTGATCCTAGGCGTATTTTTGAATGATGTTTATTTATAAATTCAAATAGATTTGATTAAAAAAAAAAAAGTGAAATCTAAATATCAATTTAACTTATTTTTATAACAATAATTTCTTACAAAACATTTCTTGTCGTTGTAACTCATTTCATTGACTTGTATTTGTGTGATTTCAACCCTTTATCAAATTTGTGTCGTGTAACATTTGCATCATATAGAACGTAATTGCCTAAAGAAAATAACTATACATATAATAAAATAAGGTCAACACGTTATTTACCTTATTTCTTTTATCTTTGTTTTAACCAGGATTGGGAAACTGGGACGTTTCCTTTTAACTTTAACAAAAAACAATCATAATCAAACATTTAAAAATATCTTATACCTTTATATCTTTTCCTGAATATATATGTATATATATATATATATATATATATATATATATATATATATATATATATATATATATATATATATATATATATATATATATATATATATATATATATATATATATATATATATATATATATATATATATATATATATGTATATATAGCTATGTCGACGTGAACATGAGACCCTATTCCCAAAAAAGTTTAGACTTTTTTGGGAATAGGGTCTCATTTTTTAACGCCTTAGAGTTATGATTTTTTAATGTTCAATTTTTTGACTTGCGTTTATTCATTAATCAAACTAGGAAATGAACCAATTACTTGTACAAGAAAATTGTGTAAATAAGTGCTAATTCTAACTTCTGACGGAATCTACGGGCTTTCAATAAAATCTTAATGCTTTTAATGGAATAATGAGGCTTGTTATATAATATTTTTCAAAAATGATTATAAAAGTATAAATAAGAAGCAATTGACATTAATAATTTATCATGGAACTCTCACATAAATGCCATTAATATAAAATCTCAAAAAACATTTGTCTACTCTATAAAGCAACACCTTATCTATCGTTCAAAAACTTGAAACTTCTTTTTTCTCTCCTTTATAAACAGCTATGCAATATGTACATTGGCAAGTACTCATAAAACTAAATTAAGATTTCTCTATAGTCGGCAGAAACTCGCTTCAAGAGTTATATTTTATAAAGACAAACTTACTCGTGCAAATCCATTACTAAAACAGATGAATGTTTTAATCATTAACCAAATCAATATATATCAAAATATTTTGTTTGTGTAAATAAAATATACATAAAATGGGAACTGTTCTAAGCCGATTTATAACTTTTTTCAAACTAATATAAATAAATTTAGCACTAGAGCAAAAACTATATAGTACCCAAAAAAAGAAGATAATCATCCCAATTCTCTATAGCATATCGCGTTCCTTACCTGTATAACAAATTTATACCAAAAAATTCCTCAATATCTCTTCTGAAAAGTATAAATTCCTTAAAAGCTAATCTAAAAAAACTCATTTTAGATGCAAAAAGTTATATGGAAATTTTTTAATATCTTATGATTAATATATATCAAATATCTTATGAGTAAAATATGTATGTATGTATATACATACATATTTTACTCATTAAATATTTGATATATATATATATATATATATATATATATATATATATATATATATATATATATATATATATATATATATATATATATATATATATATATATATAAGGGCGGATACAGGATTTTTTGAAGTTTGAAATAACTAACTTCCAGACGTGGAGCGAACTCGAAACTTTTATATGTTTATAGTTATATCAAATATGGATACTTTGCAAAAAATTGAGATGATAGGAGCCTGGAAACAAAAAACCCCAAAATTTTTGCTACACCTGCCCCAAACGTGAGAGCAACAAGTTGATAAAATGAGTTTTTTACTTTTCTCAACAAAATCTATATTCATCGAGAAATTCATATATATGTACATATACATATATATATATATATACATATATATATATATATATATATATATATATATATATATATATATATATATATATATATATATATATATATATATATATATATATATATATATATATATATACTATATATATATATATATATATATATATATATATATATATATATATATATATATATATATATATATATATATATATATATATATATATATATATATATATATATATATATATATATATATATAAATATATATATATATATATATATATTTATATATATATTTCACGGTTCACGATGACAAGATTTGACTCTTTTTCTGCACGTTCCCCTTAACTACATAACTATAGGTTTATTTTTTATTTTTTTTAAACTTATCTTGTCTTCTCAAAATATATATTTTAATCCTAATTTACTTTATTATATTATTTTGTACATCAATTGTATTCTAATATTGTTTAAAATTAAATTTTTAATTTTTTATTGCTTTATATTAGAGGTATTTTGATTGTGTTTGTAATTAAAGTATATAAAGTTAAAAGATGTAAAAATTATGTAGTTGTAAAAATATAGGAAAAAAAAAATAAAAAAAATATTGATTCAAAAAATGCACTGCTTATATTAAATAAACTGTTCATGATTAAAACCACAAGTTTTGTAAATCCGGAGAAAGTATGTACAGAAGACCAAGATAAATTAGCCCGCTTTTTTTCTTTGATGTATAACTTTTTAGCTTTTAATGTTGTTAGTGGAATGCAGTAATTACTTATTAAGTGTCATACATTAAAATTACATTCAAATAAGTTAATTAATTGTAACCAATTAATGTATCACTGCACATTCTAAAATCTAGTGCAATATCTGTCCAGTTTCTCTATCTTGGCCCGTCGAAGCTGGTTATGATGCTCTTAAGTGAGCTAAACTCGTCTTCGCGGGCCTCTATATTTGGTATTGGACTCTATATGATAATTAGCTGGAGGAGGATAAACCACAATACCACTTTTTTATCTTTTAATCAAATACATTAATTAGTTGTAACCGATTAATACATAATTACACATTCTAACATTCAGTGCGATATCTGTACGCTATCTATATGCTACCTCTTTAACTCAAATTCTTTAGTCTGTCACTTTAATATTCTTCATTTTTTTAAAACTCACTTACTCTTATTTGTTGAAGCGGGTTATGATGCTCTTTAGTGAGCTACACTTGTCTTCACCGGCCTTGGAACGTGGCCTCTATATAGCAACTAGCCGAAGAAGGATGAACCAACTTTTTAGCTTTTCAAGTTTTATTTTATTTTTATATGGAAAAAAATAGACAAGACCTTAGACTACCATAAATAACATTATCAAAAATTCATAATTGGTTTTTAATACATTTTATATTGATTTTGTTGGATTATGATAGGCTAACTTACCCCGCTATCGGGCTCCGTTAGGTTTCTGTCTGGCTAACGCACGAAGCCGCTATCAGAGTATGTAGACCCAATAGGCTGACTAACCCGCTCTTGGGGTAGAAAGAGGGTTTAAAACAATTTAATTTTCATCATTTTTTTTTTTTTATTATTATTTTATGTTTAATTTTTTTTAATAATAATAAAAAAAACTTATTCATAATTGAAATATAAAACGTGTTGGACCTCAGTATGAAACCCTTTAAATATATTGAAAAAATATAAAATTCATATTTGTTGAATTCTTATTATTTCCCCAAGTTTTTTTTTTAATTTTGAAAACACTTTAAAACAAAAAAAGTTATTTTTGGAAATGAAAACAAGCTATTTAACAACAACAACAAAAAAGGCCAATGTGCCCCATTTGCATTGGGCCAACCTGCCCCATCGTAATGTTTAAAGTATAAACGCTTTTATTTTTAAATCACTAACCACTATTATTAAAATAATCCTTAAACTATAAGCATTAAATTTAGAACTTAAAACAGTGTTGTCAAACATCAGTGATCATATTAATGTCAAACAAACTGTTTAAAATTTACTTTGGTGTATCAAAAATTGTCAACCAGACAACCCCCCCCCCCCACACTTCTAACTATGATCTTATAATCTTTTTTTCAGAAAGAGGGTTGAATTACAACCAATCTTCTGCTAAATACCTAGCTTGCTAAAGTGCATAGCCTTCGAATAAATTCGTCTGGTCCAACCTGCCCCTATGACCAATCTGCCCCAGTGTACCCTAACTTCACCATGTATACATGATTATCAAGAATTAAAATAAAATAAATTAATGACGTAATTAAAAATACTGTATAGTTTTAATATTGCTATCGTTGTTATGTGTTAAGTATAACTATATACAACTTTTGTTGAAGGTAATTTGCCAGCCAATTCTAATTTATAAAATTTTGTTATGGGTTATTTCAAAATTCTGCAGCTTTTTATTTATGAAACCTTTGCCACAAAGACCCTTCGTGACGTCTGGGGTTTAGTAGTAGTTTGGCTCTCTTTAAGCATGATTTTAAAAGGAATTCAAATTAAAAATATATGAAAACATACATAATGATATTTTTTTTGTTTTTGTTGTAATCATTTTACGGCACTATTTTCATGAACCGCATCTGGATTAAATACGACATAAGCAAAACAACATACATTGAGTGAGGTTGTTAGACAAATTCTTTTAGTATTAAATTAGAAAACCGCCTGGAAAACACTCTCTTTTTTACCGGCAAAATTTTGTATTATGTCATTATATGACAAACTCCAGGTCAATTAATTTTTAATTAGTAGCATCTTAAATCTAAATAACGCTCTAGTCTGACAGTAGCAATAGGTATTAATCAATCTTAAATTACTGAAGGAAAGTTTATTCTTTGAAATAGATGGTGTCGATGTTTAAAAAGTTAAATGCTAATTAGCTGCTGGATGAGAATGAGATTTTGAAGAAATTTTCATCAATAAAACAAAAGAATCAATCACACCCCGAATCATTTCTGTAATCCTAATTATGGAAACGATTTGTGGTGCATGTTTTAAACGAAATCTAAACTGGCGTACAACTAAGAAAGTGGTAAATACGAAAATACATAAACTTTTCAAAAATTTTGCTGATATTTTATAATAATAATATTGGTCTATGGTTATTGCAGTTTTGTGTCCTTTTTATGGATTGATATTACAGATGCTATTTTTAAAGTATTAGGGAATATTTTATTTTTTTACAGTTCTTTAGGGATTGAATTTTTTCTCGATTTTAACTGGATCATGTATAATTGTGTTGTTTAAAAATACACAAGATGGATATGAGATACCTTTCGAACACATATTCTAAAGACTTCTAGTACTTTTCCTCGTAGCCCTTAAACTATTGTTATAGTTAGAAAACTTTGGAAAAATGTTCTTTTTTTGCTGTGTCAATT